TTTCCTTTCCATTGAGTCTTGTCTCTATAAAGATCCAATTATCCTTTAATTTTGAAATGATTTGTAGCCTCTAGATTGACAACTCTTTGAGGTGCCCTTCCAATCCCCATTTGGAGAGACAGAAAGATGTTTCTGAGTGGAGAAGTAGAAGATGAGAGTAGACACGCATAATTTGCATATCGAGTAGGGAAAAAAAACTAGTTAGGGGAAGAAGACAAGAAGTTAAATAAACAACTTGATGAAAAAGAAAAGGCCGTGAGAAAGGAAATGTATGAAATTACATAAACTTTGAAAAGCATTCAAGATGATATATGCTGAAGTACAAAGGAAGGTGGGGGGAGAACAGGTAGGTAAATGAATCAGGTGAAGACTAGAAAGTGAAAAGAAAAAAAAATGGAACATATCCTAGACTCACCTTGAAGTTCTCGGGATCCACGTGCAGCTTGTCACAGTGAAGCTCACTGAGCTTAGCAAAGGTGCCCTTGAGGTTGTCCAGGTTTTTCAGGCCATCACTAAAGGAGTTCAGCACCTTCTTGCCATGGGCCTTCACCTTAGCATTGCTCATAACAGCATCAGGAGTGGACAGGTCCCCAAAGGAGTCAAAGAACCTCTGAGTCCAGGGGTAGACAATCAGCAGCCTGAGGGGTGAAAACAGCACAGAGGGCACAGGGGTCAGTGCCTGTCAGAACCCAAGGGACTGAGTTAACTCCATCTGCCCAGCTCTCATGCTTTCTCCAAAAGCCTGCCTTGCCACATGGATACCAACCTGCCCAGGGCCTCACCGCCAACTTCGTCCACATTCACCTTGCCCCACAGGCCGGTGACAAGACTCTTCTCTTCAGCAGTCAGATGCACCATGGTGTCTGTTTGTGGTTGCTAGTGAACACGGTTGTTTCAGAAGCAAGTGTAAGCAGCAGCTGGCCCTGTTCTTCCTTTTATGCCCAGCCCAGATCTTGCCCTCTCTGCTGCTGCAAGCAGATTGGCCCAGAGCTTAGCTGAATCTTATTGGTTTATACCATAGCCTATGATCTAGTTTGCAACCCAATTCCTCAGTTCCCCTCAATTGTCCTGAGAGTGGCGTTCTAGGTGTTATGTTTCTTGACTCAGAATCCCTGTCTTCTCTCCTCACCTCATCCTCTTCAGCAGTGGCTTCCATAAGTATACTCCCACTCTCATTTATGTGCAAATTCTGTAGTCTGATATAATGGAGTATATCTCTTGTTTAACTCCTCTAGTTATTTCACTTCATAGATAAGAAAACTAAGGCCTAGTAAACAGAAATGCTATCAAGTTGACTATGTGGTACTTCTTTTGGTCTCTAGAGATAGTTATAAGTAGTTAGAATGAATAAATACTTTGCTGTACTTTCAATTTGCTTTCTTCTTTTTTGGGTAAATACTTTTAGTAGCAAAACTTTCTTTTCATTCTGTCACTGAAATAAATGTTAATTAAAAGAATGAAAACTAATGAATATTGTTTCTCTACCAGCTACTGAAATAGATCTAGGAAGCATGGATTTTAATGGAAACAATTTAATGAACGATAAAGAAGAAAATATCAGAAACCTATAACATGATTATTTAAAACTGTGATATTATTAAAGAAAAAATGCAGAGGAATTGCAGTGAAGATTGACCTCATTCAACTAGATCAAGTCTGATAGGGTTTCTGAGAACATGCAGTTGTAGAAATTTCCATGGGTGTGTCCTTAGGAAAAAAGTAAAGTTAAATCTAAAAATGAAGATTCAAAGGGAATTTTCATCTTTTCTGAATTCAAAATAATACTGCATTGACTTACAGATACATACCCTTTAGCACAACTAGAAGGAAAGAATGAGGTTGGGAGGGACTATCAGAAAGGAAGAGAATAGAATGGGATAGAAGTCAGAAGGCAAAAAATATAAAGAAGATGAGAGGTAGGTAATTTCAAAATTTAGCAAGGATATAGATCTCAACAAAACTCTCAGTCTCTGCTGGTGACATTGTAAAATGGCATAACTGCTTTAGAAAATATTTGATAGTAGCAACTAAAGCAGAATATATGCAAAACCTATGAGCTAGCAATTATTCTTCCAGAAATGCAGAAATGCATGCTTGTGTGAGTCCAAAATCTGTAACATCAATATACATGAGGATCTCAAACTACTAGCAACTTAAATGTTCCTCACTCAGTGAAATAGATAAAACATGATATAGAAAAAGAATGAGGGATCCCTGGGTGGCGCAGCGGTTTGGCGCCTGCCTTTGGCCCAGGGCGCGATCCTGGAGACCCGAGATTGAATCCCACGTCGGGCTCCCGGTGCATGGAGCCTGCTTCTCCCTCAGCCTGTGTCTCTGCCTCTCTCTCTTTCTCTCTCTGTGACTATCATAAATAAGTAAAAAAAAAAAAAAAGAATGAAATGTTACACAATAATGAAAATAATCAATTTCACTTGCAGAAATACAGATTATTTTTTACAACATAATGTCAATTAAACCTGAATGACTCAGTCGGTTAAGTGTCTATCTCTTGGTTTTTGCTCAGGTCATTATCTCAGGGTTGTAAAATTGAGCCTTATGACAAACTCCACACCGAGTATGGAGCCTGCTTGGAATTCTGTCTCCTTCTCTGCCAACTCTCTATGGCCACTCATGTGGGGGTGCCCATTCTCTCTTGTCCTCTAAAAAAAAGCAACCAGGGACAATGATTAAATGTGTATGATTTATATGCAAAAAAGCAGGATAATGTAACTATATTTCAGATCACAAGAATGAATGATTGGAAGGTACAGAGGAGCCATGAATGATCTTTAAGCCATTTTACAGATTATCTGTTTTCAACCTTAAAACAAACAAACAAAAAAAACAACTATTGAAAACTATAAGGATGTGGGTGGCATGATCTCATTTGTATTTTTAAAATATTATTCGCGTTTCCATATATAAATAGATTTAAGGGCTAGGATAAAGGGAAGACAAATAATTAAGATGATATTATAATTGGAAGAGTGAGCAAAAATGCCGTCTCTATCTTCAGCCTTGAGCAATGTGTGATGCATTAGTCCCTAGATAGGGCAGAAAGAGGGCTAAATTAGCAGAAATAGATTGGAAAATAGTTGGAATTGTCTTGGACATGCTTTATTTGATGCACTCTTAAACAATCCAATATGGAACACTAAATAAATAGATATATGGGTCAGGAACCCATAAAGAAAACAGTCATGTTGAGAATACACAGTGGAACAAGGCGCAGAGGAACAGATCATAGTGAATTGTATAAACTGCTACCACAACCTTCTCAGTAATGAAGGCCAAAGCACTTTACAGCAATGTCCTTAAAACCTCGGAACATATTTGTGGGGTAGAAATTTTTATTCCATTTTACAAACAAGGGAATTCATTCTGAAAAACATTAACCAAACTTTTCAAGGTGATGGGGCTATAATTTGATCTTTTTCTGCTAATCCCAAAGCCCTGGCTTTTCACATCTATGCTAGGGACTTGGGTACAAGAATTTGAGATGATGGTCACAAAAGTGGCTGTGATCAATTGCCAGCTCCAAACAAGAGACTTCTCAGCATTTTCTTTCCTAAAAATAGTCTTTTCTCTTTCCATTCACCAGGTAGGGAACCTGGCTATCATTGGTGACTTCACTTTCTTCTGCACTTCATTCCAAGCCCTGCAGTATCTTGACCAAAATGGTCCCTTACTTGAGGGGTTCTTAGTTTCATTGCTTCTGTGAAATTCAGTCCTTTGCCCTAATTATTATCACAGCACATTCCTGTGCCTAGATCCAAGTTAGACTCTGCCTTGTTCTATACCTGTATGTGGATCAGTTTCCCTAAAATTCCCTATTCATTATGTTACTCTTGTGTGCAAGAGATTTCACTGGTACTTTGCTTATAACAATAGCTCTTTTCCTGCTTTTTTGGGCAGCAATGTCCTTAATTTTATACCCTTGCACTGAACTAATTAAGAGAAATTAAGGAACTAATTTCTCCTCTGTCACTTAGACCTGGCATGCTAATTCCTAAATTTGTCATTTTCCCACATAAATGAACTTTTATATCCACTGAAAGCTTAATGGAATTGGAAATATGTTCCAGGTCACAGAAATAGCAGATGAGGTACAGATTCAAACCAAGGCAGTTAGTTCCTATGCCTTAGGGATAGTTCCTCCGTTAATACCACTGAAGACACTTGGGAAAGTTTAGAGCATGGTCCTTGCCTGAGTCTCTGGAAAGCCCCATCTCCATTCTATTACAGATGTTAAAAATGTGTTTCATGTATTTTTTATTTTTATTTTTTAAAGATTTTATTTATTTATTCATGAGAGACACGCACACACAAACAGAGAGAGAGAGAGAGAGAGAGAGAGGCAGAGACATAGGCAGAGGGAGAAGCAGGCTCCATGCAGGGAGCCCGATGCGGGACTCGATCCCCGGTCTCCAGGATCATGCCCTGGGCCAAAGGCAGTGCTAAACCACTGAGCCACCCAGGCTGCCTGTATTTTTTAATTTAAATTCAATCAGACAACATACAGTAACATGTTTCTTATATCAAATAGAAACTAAATACAGCACCAAAAAGCTCTGAGATTATACAAATAGCAGCCAAGACAGGTCCCCTACTTGGGGTTTTAACATGCCCCTACTCACTCTCAACAATCTTCTTGAATTTCACAAGAATATGTCCATTCATCCCCTTATTCTAGAGACACTATTCAACTCAAGAGTCTACTTTCTCTTCCTAGAAGTAACTGCCCCTTGAACCCACTCTTATCCTGCAGAATCTTAGGAGTCTCTTCTCTATCCTCCCGAACTCCTTATCTCCAGTAACCCCCTTTCCTGTAGGAGTGCTTTCTTTTAGCTGAATCAACATAAAAGGTACAGACAGAGAGAGAAGACAAGGATTTTCATTACAGAGCACAATTTTTATTTTATTTTTATCATCTAGGCAAGGCACTGTGCCTGTCTTCAGGAGATGGACTCTGGCAATACCGACACAACTGGACCAGCACCTCAGTGGTACTTGTGTGCCAGAGCATTAGCCACAGCAGTTGTCAGCTTCTGCCATGCAGCCTGCGTTTGGGGAGTAAACTCCTTGCTGAAGTGAGTTGCCAAGACAATCAATATCATGTTACCTAGAAGCTGGGGAGAGAGGAGAGGTAAAAAGAAAATAGTACCTAGTGAACAGAAAGCCTCAAGCTGGCCTCATCTATTTTCTTCCTAATAAGAGATGGAGGAACTTCCAATGCTGGGCTCCCACAAAAGTTTAATATGCTGGACATTGGCATCAATATGACCCCCAGCCCTGTACACTTCATCACGTTCTATCCTCTCATTTGGCCTGCCAACTTCTGACCCCCAGAACATTGCCATGGATGGCTTCTCTTTTCTAGAGACTCTGACTTCTTTAAAAGTAGGAATGTAGGACTGCAAGGGGCCTTAATATGTATAATCTAAGTCCCTAGATAATACATTCATTCAAATTGTTTGGACATTCACATGACAAAGAATCTTGTGCCATGTATATAAGAGAATTTCATCACTGCTAAAGAGGGTGTGGGGGGGTCACAATCGTTCATTGAAAAGATTGCTCTTATTTTGTCTTGCTTAGTCCTGGTTTTAAATTCAAGAATCATGCAGAGATGTATTCATCATTTTTAGAGAAAATATCAGTTAAGATGTCCTTCCTCTAATTGTATTCTCCTGACCAAAGCCATTTAATTCCATTTTAGCCAGTGTTCTTCACGTATGTATCTTTTCAGAAATGTAAGATGGCCAGTGGCCTTCGCTGGTCATAGTAATTACCCTACTGAGTCCTACCTACGACCTTTGGGCCAACCTAACTACCAAAATCAAGCCCTTCCTTGGGATACAACATCCCAAAAAAATGCCTTTATAGGATCAGATTTAGGTACCTGTTTTTCCTAACATATTCACAGTACAAATACCTAGGATGAAAGAACAAAGCACAGGCATGCCCAGAACTCACCTTGAAGTTCTCCGGATCCACATGCAGCTTGTCACAGTGCAGTTCACTTAGCTCAGCAAAGGTGTCCTTGAGATCATCCATATGTTTAATAGCATTTCCAAAGGAAGTCAGCACCTTCTTGCCATGGGCCTTGACCTTGGGGTTGCCCATTATTGCAGACTCAGAGGACAAATTGCCAAAATTGTCAAAGAACCTCTGGGTCCATGGATAAACAACCAGGAGCCTATGGGATGATCACAGTCACAGACCAGATGGGAAGTCAGAGTATGTAGGAAACCTGACCAAACACCTTTCAGGAATATTTTCTGCCTTTTTGCCCCCCTCCAGTGCCTACCTTCCCAGGACCTCGCCTCCAACCAACTCCACATTCACCCTGGCCCACAGGCTAGTAACAGCAGCCTTCTCCTCGGCAGTAAAATGCACCATGGTGTCTGGGAACTTGCTGGTGATCACTAAAGTGCCAGAAACAAGTCTGTACTGCCACTTCTCTGCGTGGCCTTTTATTCCTCATTTCTAGTTTCAGGGCCCTTGCTTCTCCCAGTGCAATGAGACCATTGGTCAAGGGTGGGTTGTCACCACCAGGGGTGGGGTTTGGACAAGGGAGGGTCAGCAGGATGGACATTTGGGTCTCTGATAGCGTTGGGTGGCTCTATCAGGGGGATTCTACTGTCCTTTCTCCACCATCTACTATGCATTTCATATCTCAGCTCCCCACCCCATTATTCCTGAGGTTACCTTGTAGGCTGATCATGAGGCATAACTAGAATTAAGAGAGGTAAGAATTAGAAATCTGTTGGGCATTGTGTCAGGTGTTTACAAAGTATTATTCAGTTGTTCACCTTGGGTATAAAAGAAGCCATAGTTTTTCTTGGTCACCAGTTTTTCTAAAACTTAGATGGAGCTCATAATTTTATAGTTCTTGTAAAAAGAAATATATAAAGTAATCTAGCATCAGCTCAGAAACAGGATAGGTAAAAGCTGAGTAACTTAGAGAACTATTACTCAATCATTGTTGAGTTCTATTAAAATAAATATACTTGCTTAAGTACATTTTTTTCACCCTGATTACACAGCAGTGTCTCTGGCCAATACCATGTATCCACTCATTTGTTTCAGAAACTGCACAATTGAGTATTGGGAAAAATTACATGTTTAATGGAAAGAATATTAGATGCTGTGGCAATAGCTGTCAATTAAGGCAGTTGTCTCTGGCATTTGTTGTACTCAGACTCCCTTCTTATTCTTAAATATTCCTGATATCTAATGAGACACAGACGATCTTCACTGACAGTATTCCAACACTACTGTCCTTATATCCTAAGGTACTTTGGTCTCATGCATCTCCAACAAGTATTTATAGGTCAAGACAAGTCACACTTCTGGAGAGAGGAAATGGCTATTTTATTTTTCTCTCAGAGTTTATTGCTCCCACATTTTGAGCTCTAGGAAGCTAGTTTATTTGTTTCTCCCTAGGACCAATCTCACACACACACATAATTTACAGTTCAAGATTTCCATGTATATTTACAAAGGAACCCTAAAATGTAAAGAGCTCAACTCAATATATTAGTGTTGAATTTCTGCTATAGGAAAAGAAATCCTTTGTCTATTTGGTATAGCCATAACTTTTATCAATTTATCTTGGAAAAATTTTACATTTAAAAGTGGATAAGAATTGCTTAGGTACCAGAAGCTAGGTTACCAGCACAGACTTGATTTTCTGTGAGCTCTCAATCCCAGGCTGTGTTGACGTGAACACTTTGGTACAGAGATATAAAGAAAAAAGTGTGAATCCATCCCAAAAAGATTTCTTCAGAAGAATAAGTCAATGAAATGAAAGAAAAGCAAGGAAAAGTTGACCAAAGCCAGAAATCCCATCTCCGCTCAGCAGTGGGCATAGTCTGAGGGAATGGCTCGGGGTCCATGCTCTCTGATGGTCCTGGTGCTCATTTCCTCGGGTGCGTGCACACTGCAGCTCAGGGACATTTACAACTCTGAAGGTTAGTTAACAGCCTCCCATTTTCCCCACAAACAAGATAGTGATTCTAGAATTACCTTTAACTCATTCTTCTCTCACTTTCTCTAAACAATTACTTTCCAAGACTTTTTGATTTCTCTCCTTCATAGCTGTCCCACACTTCCACTTGATTCCATGCTCACTGTTCCCAGTGTTATCTGGAAGCTTATCACATCAATGTTAGATCATCTCACAGTCATCTAACAGTTTTACAGTCATTCATCACATATTTAAAAGGTAAATATCTACTGATGCCCATCATGACATGCATTGTTCTAAAATCTGGGAATCTTGGAAAAATAAAACAGTGTATCATCATGCTTACATTTTAGAGGGCAGAGAAGACTGACACTAATAATTATACAAATCAGGGGTGCCTGGGTGGCTCAGCAGTTGGGCATCTGCCTTTGGCTCAGGGTGTGATCCCAGAGTCCAGGGGTCGAGTCCCACATTGGGCGCTCTGCGTGGAGCCTGCTTCTCCCTCTGCCTGTGTCTCTGCTTCTCTCTCTCTCTCTGTCTCTCATGAATAAATAAATGCAATCTTTTAAAAAAATAAACAAATCAATGAAGAAGAGGAATACAGGTGGGTTTTATATGACAAGAAAATGCACCTGATGACATGGTAGCAAACGATCACAAGAAAAAATAATATAAGGATAGAGGTCCTGAAGGAAGGTACATTTGAAGCGAGACCTTAATGACAAGATAGAACCAGGCAGATGTTATTGGAGAAACAGGTTCCCAGAAGCAGGGAAGGACAGGTGCCAAACTCAGAGCCTGGAGAGAAAGGGAAGAAGAAAGAAAGAAAAACCACAAATACCCACCATTTGCTTCAATGTGGATGGAACTGGAGGGTATTATGCTGAGTGAAGTAAGTCAATCGGAGAAGGACAAACATTATATGGTCTCATTCATTTGGGGAATATAAAAAATAGTGAAAAGGAATAGAGGGGAAGGGAGAGGAAATGTGTGGGAAATGTCAGAAAGGGAGAAAGAACATAAAGACTCCTAACTCTGGGAAATGAACTAGGGGTGGTGGAAGGGGAGGTGGGTGGGGGGTGGGGGTGAATGGGTGATGGGCACTGAGGGGGGTACTTGATGAATGAGCACTGGGTGTTATCCTGTATGTTGACAAATTGAACACCAATTAAAAATAAATTTATTATAAAAATAATTTTTTTTAAAAAAAAGAAAGAAAAACCAAACTTGACATTTAGTTTAGAGAAAGGCATTACAAGGTCTGAGAGAGAGAGAGAGAGACAGAGAGAGAGAGAGAGAGAGAGAGATGTTAAGGGAAGAGTGGGAGGGAGCGGAGTTCAAGAGATTGGCCCCAGGCTTCACTGTTTGGGCACATGAGGGTAGATGGGTATTTCTATTTCTCTAATGGGAAACCATTAGAGATTTGTAAACCGGGCATCAGCATGATCGCTTATCTACTCAGCACCTACAGCCAAGTTAACTTTCTAACTGTTCTGTTTATCACATTACAGCCTTGTTTATAACCCGGAATTAACTTCCAGCCGAACCAATGTTCCTGTGATCTATCCTCCCCAACTGCTCCATGCAATTTTTTTCCTTTCTTTTTTTGATCTCGCAGAGCTCCTCTGCTACACTGAGCCTTCTTCTCAGACTACTCTGGTTCATCTTCTCCGCCTAAATCCCCACCTCTCTGAGCACTTTACAGGGACCTCCCTGCTCTGAAACATGGTAGCAAATCTGCCCTCTGGGCCATGATCTACCCTGATGGCATGTAGTCAATCAATGTACCATTCCCCAGTGGCTCTGACCTCTTAAACCACAAAGTTCTTCTGTAAAGCTCAAGGCCAATTCTTTTGAGCTGATTTCAAAAGGAGTCATCCCCAGCTCATACCCCCAACCCCTCCCATCCCTAATCTATTCTCACAAGGGCTTGTGACAATCGAGCTGCTTTTAGAAAACACTTCCCTCTTATCAGGAGAATGTAACTACAGTCCTTGCCTGGACCTTGTCCTTTTAAGACTGGGGTTAATATTCCTCCAAAGAATCCCCACGCTGGTACTCAACCTCCATCCAGACCCTTGGTCTTCACCAGTGTCTTCACTCAGGCCCATATAATGCTCTGGTTTGGAGGAACTCTAGTCCCATGACACCAATCCTCTCTCATCAGAACCCACTCATGTCTTCAGCTTTAACGTAAAGAGCCCCCAAGTGTATGTTCTCCCCAAGTGTATATCCCAGTCACACATTCCTTTCATTACCTATTGTGTTTTATTTTCTTGCCAAAATCTTTACTTCGTACAAAAATTGAATGGGGAGATTACACACACACACACACACACACAAACACACACACATAAATACACATACATACACATACATTGCCCCACAGGCTTGCAATGATGTCCTTCTCCTCAGATATATAGTGAACCATGGTGTCTGGTCTGGGAGCTTACTGGTAATGACAGATGTGTCAAAAATAGGTATTTCCTACTGCTACAATGTGTGGCCTGTTCATCGTTGTGCCTGAGTTACTATCCCCTTACTTCCCCTCATTCCATGGCTATTGATTAAAACTAGACTCAGAATACTGTTATGGTATTTAGGCACAGAAAAGGTTTACAGTAACTTACATCTATGGCAGCATCTTAGAGTACACCCCCCATCCTGACTGAATATGTGCTATTCCGTGTTCAACTCAATTGTGCAAAATTTCTCTATTCACTTTTTCTTTTAGCTACTCTTTCTTCACCCCACAGTAGAAAATTTCAGTACTCCTTGCCAGTCTTCCCTACAATTCTTGTCATGATCCCTAGATACGTCCTTTGATTAAATTTGAAGCATGGGCAAAAATCTGGAAAGTTCAGAGATTTTATTTCCCACTGTACATGTGTGTTCTGGCCAGGAGCCCAGGGTTCTGGTTTGCTGCTCTTCCATCTCAGTGAAAACAATGGTAGATGGTTCATTGGCAGGTAGTGCTGACTTGAAAGAGCCGATGCTGATAAATGCTGGGTCCACTTTTCAGCTGGTCTTAGCCCAAGAATTTACATCAGGAAGCACTTTCTTTGCTTTATCTCATGTATTATAAAGCAACTCAAAATGGGCAAAGATTCTTTATTCTTTGACTAATAGTCCTCATAGTCATTGCTATAGCATCACTGCACTTTAGATTACTTTATCTCTAATTCACTACAGTTTTTTACAGGACACATTTCCAATGGGACAGAGTCAGAGTTCATACCATTTTTTTTTTCTCTGAAAGAGATGCATGATCTCAGATGGTAATCTGATCAGGAGTCTTGAAGCTTCATAAATCTGGCTTGATTATTTGTCCCTGAAACTGGAGACCTGCTGATTGAATGAAAATGCAGATCAAGAAATTACCTGTGAACTTAATTCAAGGGAATCTCTATCTTCAAATTATTTTTCTCCTAACATAACAGATTGTCTGAAATTCAAGCTTAGGAAAAGTTTAAAGGCCAGGAAAATGAAATTTATCAATAATTCAAAAGGTATTTTAGAGTTGTAAGCAAAAATTTGTGAATTCTTAAATTGGAGATGGGAGCATTTCTGTTGGAATAAGTGTATAGGGCACAGAGCCTAATGTAAACTCATATGAGAGTGTCTTCAGGAATGAAGCTTTGTGGGTTGAGTGTAGACAGACATTTGACTACATCTGATGTATTCAGTGCAGAGCCTCTCTTACAAGCTTGGCTCAAAGACTGGTGTCCAAACCTCTGAAAGCCTTAATAAGTGAATGTGATTCTTCATAACTCTCTTTCAGGTTGATGGACTTCTGTGATCCCTCATGTCTGTAAACAACCTCCCCATACCCCCAGAAACACAGACAGTGAATTCAACATTTGTAATGACTGCTTCTCAATCTGCTTTTAGGGCAACTTTTTTCCAAGGCTTGCTGATTTCTCTTTGTCTGCTGTTCCACTCTCCCATCCTTCCTGCGTCGCTGTTTATTTCTTTTTCATTGTTGTTTTAAAATATTTTATTTTTTTTTACCCTATGTGGGATTCAAACTCATAACCCTGAGATCAAGAGTCACATGATCCACAGACTGAGCCAGCCAGGTGCCCCCTGTGTCATTCCTTCTGACATTCCTTAAATTCTTATCCATGAAGCTGGTTCTTCACAAAAGCCCCACTGAGTGTTCTCAAATATCCTTTTAATGAATACATTGAGCTTCTATGCACCATTAATTCTTCTATGTACTAGTGATTTAAGATAAACAATTTAGAGAGGAAAACTGCTTTCTTGGAACTATATTCTACAAAGGGGAGATACACAGAAAGAGTAAATTAATCAGCAAAATCATTTTTTATATTATTTGCTATGAATCATTTCATACATCATTTGTTATCAGGAAAATTCATATCTTGATTTAAGTGGGACACAATTATATTAACAATGATCTCTTTAAAGGGACACTATTTGAGCAGAGACCATAATGACATGAAGATGTTGCCATTCACTCTATTTTTTCTCTCAGAGTCTATTACTCCTGCATCTAGGGCTCTAGGAAATGGGCTTGTTTGTTTTTCCCTGAAGTCACTCCTTAAAAAAATAATATTAAGAATTCCCCTCCATGTTATTTACAGGATACTCTAAAATTTAAAGAGCTCAAGGCACCTGGGTGGCTCAGCAGTTGAGTGTCTGCCTTCAGCTCAAGTTGTGATCCCAGGGCCCTAGGATGGAGTTGCACATCAGGCTCCCCTTAGGGAGCCTGCTTCTCCCTCTGCCTATATTTCTGCCTCTCTCTGTGTGTCTCTCATGAATAGAGTAAAATCTTTAAAAATAAATAAGTAAAATAAAATTTAAAGAACTCAATCCAATACATTAAAGCTAAATTTCTGCCATTAGAGAATTAATCCATTCAACCTGATATTGTCGAGAGGCTGTTATCTGTCCTTAGGGAAATGATGAAGACTTAATGTGAAAGAGGAATAAGAATTTGAAGCAAAACCAAGGAGATTCTTTTTAAGATGAGAGATCAGTGAAATGAAAGAAGAGAAGACACAAATTTGAGCACAGCCAAAGATTGAGACTTCCTAAATTGTGATGCTTGAAGCTTTGGAAACCTGGCTTGATTATGTGCCTCTGTGGCCATTTTATTTCAGGATACCTCTATCTACAAATTAGTTTAGGCTCTAACTTCTCAGGTTGCCTGAAATTAGAATAGGTGAAATCTTTTTACTCTTCATGACCTCATGTAAAGCCTATACCTGTTCATAGATGAGGATGACTAAAAGTCCAGGAAGATGAGACTTGTTATGATATCTGTAGTAACTTTCAAGTTATAGGCATAATAATTTGTCACTTGTCTCAATTTGAGAGCACACATGGACTGGTAAAGAGGTATAAGTTACAGATCAGCTTTTAGTCTGCAAAATAGGAAGTCTATAAGATGAGTGTATATAGACCTTTGATCATATTTGATGATCCTTTGGGTTCAGTTTGTAGAATCTGGCCATGGAGAATGATTCAGAGGCAAATTTCTAAGTCTCTGAAGACTTTAAGGAGTAAGAAAGTCTTAACTATTCTTCCTCAGGTTAATGGATTTTTATGACCCCTCATGTCTATAGACAACATCCCCACTTTTCCAGAAACCCAAATAGTTATCCAATGCTCCTCTGTAACTCCTGGTTTCCTCTTGCACTTTCATGGCAGTATCTTCCAAAGGCTCATTGATTTCTCCCCATCTATTGCTGTTTATCCTTCCCTTTTCCCCAAGTCATTGCTTCTGACATTGCCTAAATCCTTGCCTAAAGTTATTTCATTACAGAAACCATCTGTGGGTTTTTCAAACACTCATTCTCATGTGTTCTGAGATACTTACTTAAAATCTATTTGTTAAAAAAACCTATTTGTTGAATAATTGTTCTAAGTACTAGAGATTTAAGATAAGTGAGGCAGAGGAGAAAACTCTTCTTAACAATTATAACATGGATGTGGGAGATATTAAAAGTGAATAATTAAACAAATCTACAAAATAATTTCAGTTACTAATATTTGCTATGAAGAAATTAATATCTGGACTTAATGTGAGAGGAACATGATTACATCAAAATCAGTCCCTTTTGGGAGGTACTATTTGAGCTGGAGTGAGAATGAAAAGAAGGCATTTGCCATGGGGAGATGGTGGGATAAAACGTCTGAAAGCTGGGGAATAGGGAATCCAAAACTCTGAGGGAGATACAACAAACCCCTGGTACACTGGAATTATGAATTATGGGCTGGTGCAAGTGACATGTAAAGGTAAGGATTGGGATAGGCAGGAAATGTTGCCACAGGAAGCATAAACTAAAAAACTTAGGACTTGTCTTCAGTAGTAGAGAATGAGAAGTCATTATGGATTTTCATCCTGGTAATGACATCATCTCTAAACCTCTGTATTCTAAATATTCCAAGAATATCCTGTTCATCATGACATTATTTTGCTTACATGGCTTATATTGCCTATAGACAATAATTAGTCTTTTCTTCATCTATTAAAAGTCTGAGGCGCTCCTGGGTGGCTCAGCTGGTTATGCATCTGACTTTTGGGTTCAGCTCCGGTCCTGATCTCAGGGTCATGAGATTGAACCCATTCAGCCTCACAAGATATATGATAAGTTAGCTGATTCAATATGTACATTAAAGCAAATTGACCTTAGATCCCTGAAAAGGTTTTAAAGCTGAAGTCTGACATGTACCACAAATCTAGCTTGTTTTTTCAGAGGCACTGCTTAGCACCTCCTTTTTTCCCCTCTACAGTACATTTTTTGCCATCCTGCCCTGTAAATCCCTACCCAATTGATTAAGCCTTTCCCAGAAAATTTCTTCCCCCTCCTGGCATCCACCCAGATCCTCTAGAATCCTCCCATAATGTCTATCTTTCCAAAGGAGCTCTTGTTTCTTCCCATGTCTCCTAAACTAAAGTCAATGAAACTTTTCTCCTTTAACACAAGAGTGAAAAATGGAGAAGACACAATATTAATTTCTGATTACTGAATAGAATGAACTTTATTAAACAGAAGTTGTGCTCTCAAAGCTAAACCTAAGTCCCCATATGCAGGAGGAGGACACTGGGGACACAGAAGGGTACTGCTGAACTAGAAAGAGGACTCAGTGGTATTTGTGGGCCAGAGCAGTGGCAACACCAGCCACCAGTTTCTGCCAAGCAGCCTGCACATCGGGGGTGAATTCCTTGCCAAAATGAGAAGCCAGGATGATCACCAGTACATTGCCCAGGAGCTGTTAGGTGAAAGACAAAAATGACAAATAGGCATGTTGAGTAAAAGTTCTCAAAAAGAATTGCAGAAAAAGTAGCTCAGACCTCTACTTCCTACAAATTCTACATTCTTAAACTGCTCCAGGAGGTATGCCTGCAAAAGCCCAAATAAGCTAGTCCTTAAAGTGTGAACTTTCCATTTACCTCCCTGCCTCCCCATATTCCCATCCTATCTACCATGCCACCATTTTTATTTGCATCTCTCCTCCCCTCTCTTATCTACCAATTGGCTAATTCCTGTAATAATGGGATCTTAGGGTTGCAGGGGTCCCCAGAGAGAACTTATTTAAGTCTCCAATCAGTGCAAGAACAAAACTCCACTCGGTAAAAATACTGACAGGTAATTTAATATATTCTAAAGAACTTGTATATTACTTTGAGACAGTCTGTCTAAAATTCCCCCCCCCAAATCTCTCTCTAAACTTTAGTCATCAGGACCACATAAAATAAGACATTTCTCCTTCCTTGAGAAAGGCCTTTATCTACCAAACACCAAATCCTATTCCTCCTTGAACAAGTCTACCATTCTCTATGATGAACATATCCAGTTCTGACGAAAGTTCTTAACAAGATTTAAGCAAATTCTGGCTGCTACTAGCCCTTCTATAACTAGTCCTGAATCAAGGTGGTCCTGATTATGCCCACTAGAGATCTGTCCTTCTAACACCAAGTTCGACCCATAATTTCTGAAATTTCTGTTAGCTTTGCCAAAGACTCAAATTCCATTATTATCCCAGAGTGAAAAGTAATAAAAGAGCACATGAGCATTTCCTGAGCTCACCCTGAAGTTCTCGGGATCCACGTGCAACTTGTCACAGTGCAGCTCACTCAGCTTAGCAAAGGTGCCCTTGAGATTGTCCATGTTCTTAATAGCATCTCCAAAGGAAGTCAGCACCTTCTTGCCATGGGCCTTGACTTTGGGGTTACCCATTATGGCAGAAGCAGAGGAAAGGTTGCCAAAGTTGTCAAAGAATCTCTGGGTCCAGGGGTAAACAACCAGGAGCCTATGTGACAGAACCACAGAAGATGGAAAATCAGAGACTTACAAAAATCTTGAGGAATTTCCTGGTCAATTGGCCAGGTTCATATTCACCACCCTTTCTCATGCCTTGAAAGCCAGTGCCTACCTGCCCAGGGCCTCGCCTCCAGCATCTTCCACATTCACTTTGCCCCACAGGCTAGTGATAGCAGCCTTCTCCTCGGCACTAAAATGCACCATGATGTCAGGTCTGAGAGCTTACAGGCGGTCAGAGATAGAAGCAGGTAATGTGCTGCTGCTGGAAACTGTCACCTTTTATTCTTTACTGCTGACCTTCTGGCCCCTTGTTCCTCCTAGTCCTTTAAAGTCATTGGCCAAGGTTAAACTGTGTCCCTCAGGGGTGGAGTCAGATCAGGGAAGGGTCAGCAGTGAAGCATGTCCACTGAACTTGTGATAATGTGTGTTGGTTCCTGAGACAGGCTTCCTTTGTCGGTTCCTCTGTCCTAAACATGATTTTCCATTTTATTCCCCTTTTCACCCTCTTCTCCCCCAATGTGATCCTCCAAAATGACATCCATCTCTTCCTTTCTTCTTCTCCAAGAAAGACCTGCAGAAAGGAGGTAAGCCCAAGATAAGGAAAAGAGTTGTAGTCAGAACAGTTTCAGTATTTGGATTAAAGATGGTGATAGAGACAAGAACAGGGTCATGAAAAAAAAAAAAAGAACAGTTGCTGACAATTTTCACTCACTTGAGGAGTGCATTATAACCAAGCCTCAGGTTCTTAATTTCCCAAAGGAGACAAAACACACATGTAGTTACTTCAAGAAGCTAAACAGAGTAACAAGGGATCCACAATAGGACTAAGACTTCAATCCCAAAGTACAACATCTGAGGGTAATTTCATAGAGAAGATAGATAGGATAAATTTACTTCCTGTGCTTCCCTGGAACCCTCTCTCTGTCCATTTCTCTGTGATGGAAACTGGTTACTTTGGGGAAAATTTTCCCAAGTTCTCGTCTTGATTTTCTGCTCCACTTATACTTCTTTAATCAGTGAGACAGCTGAGGAGTCTCCAACTGTTTAAAACTAGGACTTGTGATCAAGCTCAGAAATAGATGAATGGGTAGGTTAATTAAGCTCGAGGTTGGAATATATTTAATGTTTTCTGCAGCCGTAGGTGCCTGAGGCTTCAAATACCTCGAGTGTTCTTTTGCTTGCTTGTTTGTTTGGGTTTGTTTCTTTTTTTTCTTTTTCTTTTTCTTTTTCTTTTTCTTTCTTTTTTTTTTTTTTTTTTTTTTTTGCTGCAAAAAGCTTTATTGTCTCCATTTGGTCCACGTTTTGGGAAAGGGCTCCAGAATGGTTAAAAAGCTGCCTAGTGGCTGCATGGGAAAAGGTTCAGGCACAAGCCCTGGCACCGGGGGGTTGCCAGAGGAGCCCCTCAAAGGCTGCTGGTCTCCAGAGGCTCCTAGTCATGCTTGAGAGTGAGCCTTTTGAAAAGATACTCGCCCAGACCAGCCTGGGGGTTGGCCAGCCTGCGGAGGTTAGTCAGGTGGTCGCCCATCTCCTGGGTTTGTTTCTTGATGTCACTCTTGTCTTTGGGCTTTCCTGAAAATTCAGCATGAAATAGAGTCTGCACCTTGCAACTTTTTCAGTTGCAATCTGCTGTAATAACAGCAGAGTCTGGAGTCCAACAGTCTGGAGTCCTGTGGTGTGGGGGTAGAGAATGCTGGAGGAGAAGCATTTTAAAATTGTATAATTAAGTTTTAGTCTTTACTGGAACAGTGTTCCTGGACTGTGACTTTTTACAGTGTTTGTTAACTTTTCCCCTCCTAAGGAGGTCAGGAAAACCTCGCTGGGCTATACTATATATATTAAAGGGTTGAAAGACAGCTATCTGTAGTTCAGTACAAGGCATATAGATTCTGATTCTGAAGTCATTCAGATTGGTTGAGTGTAGTATTTTACTGCCCCTAAGGCTTGTTGATTCAAGCTAAATTATCTCAGATGCTCATTTTGAAGTATTTTACTTATTTCTCTTATGAAATATCATTTTTGTCTCCCTTTCCTTTTTTAATTTTTTTTATTTTAATAAATTAATTTTTATTGGTGTTCAATTTACCAACATACAGAATAACACCCAGTGCTCATCCCGTCAAGTGTCCCCCTCCGTGCCCGTCACCCATTCACCCCCAACCCCGCCCTCCTCCCCTTCCACCACCCCTAGTTCGTTTCCCAGAGTTAGGAGTCTTTATGTCCTGTCTCCCTTTCTGGTATTTCCCACACATTTCTTCTCCCTTCCCTTATATTCCCTTTCACTATTATTCATATTCCCCAAATGAATGAGAACATACACTGTTTGTCCTTCTCCGATTGACTTACTTCACTCAGCATAATATCCTCCAGTTCCATCCACGTTGAAGCAGATGGTGGGTATTTGTCATTTCTAATGGCTGAGCAATATTCCATTGTATACATAGACCACATCTTCTTTATCCATTCATCTTTCGATGGACACCGAGGCTCCTTCCACAGTTTGGCTACTGTGGACATTGCTGCTAGAAACACCGGGGTGCAGGTGTCCCGGCGTTTCATTGCATCTGAATCTTTGGGGTAAATCCCCAACAGTGCAATTGCTGGGTCGTAGGGCAGGTCTATTTTTAACTCTTTGAGGACCCTCCACATAGTTTTCCAGAGTGGCTGGACCATTTCACATTCCCACCAACAGTGTAAGAGGGTTCCCTTTTCTCCGCATCCTCTCCAACATTTGTTGTTTCCTGTCTTGTTAATTTTCCCCATTCTCACTGGTGTGAGGTGTATCTCATTGTGGTTTTGATTTGTATTTCCCTGATGGCAAGTGATGCAGAGCATTTTCTCATGTGCGTGTTGGCCATGTCTATGTCTTCCTCTGTGAGATTTCTCTTCATGTCTTTTGCCCATTTCATGATTGGATTGTTTGTTTCTTTGGTGTTGAGTTTAAGAAGTTCTTTATAGATTTTGGAAACTAGCCCTTTATCTGATATGTCATTTGCAAATATCTTCTCCCATTCTGTAGGTTGTCTTTCAGTTTCGTTGACTGTATCCTTTGCTGTGCAAAAACTTTTTATCTTGATGAAGTCCCAATAGTTCATTTTTGCTTTTGTTTCTTTTGCCTTCGTGGATGTATCTTCCAAGAAGTTACTGTGGCCAAGTTCAAAAAGGGTGTTGCCTGTGTTCTCCTCTAGGATTTTGATGGAATCTTGTCTCACATTTAGATCTTTCATCCATTTTGAGTTTATCTTTGTGTATGGTGCAAGAGAGTGGTCTAGTTTCATTCTTCTGCATGTGGATGTCCAATTTTCCCAGCACCATTTATGTCTCCCTTTCCTGAATGTAAAATCCAAAGCTTAGAGATAAGTGACATGCTTATCCAGATAGATAAGAAAGATTAAATCATTAGAAAAGGTAAACAAGAATATTTATGAAATATAAAATTAAAAAATAATAAAATAAAAAAATGTTATGCCAAAGGCATTTAAATTTAAAAGAATTTTAAAAGGAAATTCCAAAATTCGATGAGCTAATAATAATTCCAGATTCTCGGTATTCTGTAGCATTTGTACCTTTGTAAGGTCTGTGAAGGATTTTAAGAAATTTAAGATATCTCTCTTCAGCAAGGGGAAATAAAATATTTTCTTGAATCTTTGTAGTTAATTTTTGATATGTATAGATCCTGAGTCAACTATTATATCTTTAGGTGCTATCAGTGTGAATTAAATGTTATACTGTTGATAGGTAAACTAAGTCTTTAGCCCCATTACATGTTTTTCATAGTATTATCTGAGAAAAGTTACTTCAAAAATTATTCTTCACCACAAGTGAGTTCTTTTTTAATCTTTAATGTCAAAAATGGGAAATCATAGACAGGGTTTATAAACCACTGAAGGTATACAAAGCTCTTTATTAGAGAGGCTATCAGTATGCTTTCATTATGTATCTGAGTTTATATTCTCATAACAGAAATAGATGATATCTGTAAAAGGTTCTATGAGATGTTGGATTAGCCTAAAATAAATTGGTTACTATGAGTAAGTAGCAGGAGACCCTTGCGGCTGCCATGCAGGAAGCCAGTAAACGTTTTCTGTTTATCAAAGGAATGAGAAAATAGACCACTTTGGTGTCAGGCAACATGACTGCTTTCTAAGTCCCATGCTGCCCTAGCAGCATCTCTCACGAAGGTTGTAGGTAAGCAACCAGAGTGGGGTTTTATTCTCAGGGTGATTTCTCCCAGCTGGCAGCTACAACATGGAGCTGTGGTTTGACTGCCCTCTGGGAATCACTGTGCCTAAGGCATAGCTGGAGATATGTGTGAATGTTAATTAAGCAAGAGGGAGAGGAAATGGAGAGCCAGAACCAGCCAGTTATTACACACGTTTCTACATGATAGACCTGGAAGGTTAAAAGTTGAATCTGGCAGTTTAGACAGTCATAAATTTCACATTTCCTCTGAAATAGAGCTCTATTTTTCTGCTTTCCTTGATGCTTTTTCACCTTAAGGGAAATTACCTTCATTTATTTTGTGATTTATTTTCAAAAACAGATAATTCCTGGGTTTTTTTCCCATTTATTGTAAATAATATTGCCCAATGTATTCTTTGAGCTAAGAAAAAAACATAAAAAAATACTCTGAAAGAATGACACAATTATTAGAGCCAGCATTTTCTAATCTTTCTGCCCCTCAGTTTACTGCACTACCATGGGTTATTGGGCCATATCCCATGGCTCTGGCCCAAGACCTAAGCCATGTATGGTGATTTATAAACTTTGCTTAAGCAAGTACCTCTGAAGCATGCATAAACCCGATATTTGGATATCTACTTAGAGTTGATTCAAGTAGAGCTCTTCTAGGTATAGGGCTTAGAATCTTATACAGAGAAGTGATAGAGAAGATCCCATTTTATACTAAGATTCCATGTTTGCTACTAGAAGATTGGGAAGTCTTTGACTTGGTGACTTTTGAACTCTACAAAACATTTAATGATTTTTTTTTTAACCTAGGTATGCTACCTTTAGCACTTTGGGTATTCAGTACTGAAGTTATGGCATAGCATGTTTCCTGAATAAAAAAAAATACATCTCTCTGAAAAAGGATAGATTTGAGGCTTGGGAAGTGTGCAGGGTTTAAGTGGAAGCAGTAATGGTTATAGTTGGTCCCTATCCATTAACAAAATCATCCACCCTGAGGAATTATGAGAAACTAAGACCCT